GCGGAAAAAAAATCCGTTGGTTGATTATAGCCACATGTATTACTTAATATTTGCATTTGCAGGCAAACAAGACGCCGAAAAGATAAATGCAAAGTCGATTTCAAATACGACGCGTTTATAAAAATTTCCACTGTCTGTGACTAAAAATAAACATCTGCAGTTTTTCGCGCCGAATGTGCTTTCCATGTACACGGGTTCTATGTACAGGGAAAGCTCCTTAGAGCTCCATTTAAATTTCCCTTTTTCCCCTCCCTAACTTTTATCCTTTAAACAAAGTGCGCTCTCTTAGCCAAAATACTTCAAAAGATTCATTTTCGGAACTTAAAACTGTAGGTGTCCGTTCAAGGGAGCTTTCACTGTACACATATCCATAGATATATGAAAAGAAAGCTAAACACATTTCAATTTACATTTCGTATGTAAACAAATTTCTCAATAGCAAAAACTCAATAGTGTGAAAATAACTGCAATCTTTGGGTAAACAAATCTAGGAGCAGCCAGACTTGGAATCGGAATCGGAATCGGAATCGAAGTCAGAGTCGGAGTCAGAGTCGGAGCCAGTGCAGCAGCAGCAATTGGAGCGAACCCGGTCACAACAAAGATGCATTATCAAGGTTTCCATTCATGAAATGCAATGCGTTTGACCTCTAACTCAGCTTGTTCCGCGGCTCCACAGCTACTGGCTTTGGAATTCCCAACTGGTTTAAGATAAAGCTTCAATCTTGAATCAATCTTAAATCTATACATTTTCTTGAAACTTCACGAAACTCTTTTTTAATGAATCGAAAAATTTCAATCAAAGTTCATTTCCACCCAGAACGGTGGATTTTACCCAAAAATCGAATTGAAAATTTTACCTCGGTTTTCAATTTGATTTATACTACAATCTAAATTGTATCCTTGCTCCCGTTCCACATCGTTCCGCATTTGAATATTATAAATTTTAACAATTTTCAAATAAATATCAACAAAGGCAAGATCTTATAGAACATATATAGTAGGAACAAAGGCGGATGGGTTACTCACATTATTATTGGATGGCCTTGTGCGTTGCTTGGCACGATCTCGCAATTTGTTGTCCTCTCTCTCTCTCTTAAACACACTCTTTTACTCTCTCGCAGAGCGCACTGCAACGCCTCGCACGTTGCTCTGGTTTACAGTTATGTAGATAAACCGTTTGCTTATTGAATTTCTTTTTATTGTATGATTTACATTCGTATTACATTCGCTCAGTGTTGTAAATTCTTCTAAATGCCTTTGGTTTTCGTATTGATTAGTTTAGCACTTGTTCACTTTGTTGTGGTTTTTGTTATTATCGCGCCGCAATTGGTTTTGTTATTGTCGTATATATTCGATTGGGTATTTATTTGTTTTGTTTTATAGAATTTGCTTTTGAATGAAATATATTATGGTTAATGATATGCATTTTACTTGGCACTCATATATACAAATATATGTTCATATATATGCATATATATATATATATATATATATATATATATATATATGCACACACTTTCACAAATACAACGAGCATGTAGATAAAGCAGAGCGACCAGAGCGAGACAGCGCTAATGATGCTTTTAGCGGTAAATTGACTAGAAGAGTGAGAGCATGCATTGCAAATGAGAGAAAGAGAGAGATGAGACCAAGACATTCTAGAAATGTACGTTTATCAGAACTAAAAAAACTAAACTCCAAATCTCTTATATAATAAATAATAAATAAGATTAGTTTGATTTAAACCTACATTTATATAAATTGTGGCTTTTTGATTCATAAGCTATAAATAAAAGTCTGGAGATTAAAACTTGAGCGCAGCCTATTAAATAGGGCCAAGAAATGAGCTTCAAAGCAAGGCTTGTAGATATTAATGCATATGCTGGAATGTAACTACCCTCAGAATGTCCATAGGGATTTGGCAAGAATGGAAAACTCATATACATGGAAATTCTTTTAAAATTGATCTGCCTGGCTGTTGCAATAACAACTTTTCACTGGCAAGATAAAGATGCCTTGCATCGGTTCGGCTTTCAAATTAAAGTTCGGTTATCATGAGTTATATTATATTTACATTTTCAGCTCGATGGTTTCTCCTATCTTCGTTTCCAGAGCGCCTCAAAAAATTCACTCAATTTGTATTTTTTTTTTTATGCCAAGCGTTTTTCCGCATGTTTTGTGATTCCATATACACACACGCACATACACATTTATATGAAGATCGTAGCGAAAGAAAGAAAATGAGAGAGGGAGAGCAAGAATGCTACTGCAACAGCAGGGGAGAGCAACAAAAAATACTAAATATTAATTATCAGAAATTAGTAGATGTGCAAATATTCTTATTAACACATTTTGTTGTTTTCATATTTTACAAATATATCACAAAACAATGCACACACATATACGCGCATACGCATGCGAGTTGCTGAGAATTTGAAAATTATTGCATAAATATTTTAGATGTTTTTGTTTTTCTCTTATTTTTTTTTTTTTGTACTTTGCTGTCGTTGCTCCAGAAACAAGAAACACACCGAACGATGGCGCACTCTTTTGCCCCAATCAAAATATACAATAAACATACATACATCCGTACATATGTGTTTGTATATATCTCGTTTGTGTATATATGCGTGCACATAGGCTGCAATCCGTGAAGACCAACTTGAAACGTAGGCGAATAGAATAATACTGAAAAGCGTGGAGCACAACGAACGCTAAGGTGGCCCCAACCTCACGCTCAGAGAGCGAGAGCGTGAGAGAGCGAGCGCAAAATCACAGACAGGCAGGCAGATCAAGCAGAGTTGTTGCTATTGTATGCGTGAGCAACTTTTTGCCTACCGCTCACTGGTACAAATGCAAACACTCACACACTCACACACACACAAACACACATAGATACAGACTTACATGCAGACAACAGGCATCTGCAGCGAAATTCTATTTTTAAACTTAAATTAATATTGTTCTTTATTTTATCAGCAGCAGCGCGAAAATAAAGCGTCAACGGCGGCTGCTGCGACAGCCGCTCTCTATCTCTCTCTCTCTCTTTCTCTCTCGCCACTTACTGATGTAGGTGTAAATATGTGTGTGTGCGTGTGTGTGTGGGTGTGCAGCTGAAAACCAGAAAACAAATAAATAATACTACGAAACTAAACGCGCTCGTGTTGTTGCTGTGGCTTAGTTAATGCTAATCAGCGAAGTCAACGGCAACGCGTGAGATATCACTGCCTACTAAGTGGTTATGTGTGTGTGTATGTGTGTGTGTGTGTATGTGTGTGTGTGTGTGTGTGTGTGTGTGTCTTTGAGTGAAGCAGGCAAAAAGCGAAGCTCAAATGCTCGCTCTGCTCTTTGGTTGTATTGTGGTTGATATTGTTGTTGTTGCCGATGTGTATATGTCGCCTGCTCCGCTATCAACGCTTGATAAGAAATGCGTTAATCTTTATTATGCGCGACGTAAGCAGCGCAGTTAAGCTGCATATAAACACATGCATATGCACTGCATAGGTATGTATTTGTAAACGAATATGTTTGTCTGAGTACGTTTGAAGCTTTAAATTTGTTGACACTTCCGCTAAAAATTTGCATTAGGTTAAAGAAAATCAGAAGAAAATGTGATTTATTCGCATAAAACAAAACATAAGCAACAATAGCGAAAGGTGCGAAATTGAGAGAGCGGCAACAACAAGTTGTTGATGATTCAACAGTTAAACACTGCTGACTGTGGGGCAAAACGAAAACTGTGTATACATAACAAATATAGAATTGGAAATGCAGCGCCAGCAAATTTCTGGGCAGAGGACAGCTCAGCTGTTTTATCTGTCCCACGGCAAATTCAATACAAAAATCAAAATGCCGCAAGAATTACTCACACACATTAAGATAAAGCGGGAGAGAGTGACAGACTGAGAGGGAGAGTAAGAGAGAGAGAGAGAGAGAGAGAGAGAGAGAGAGAGAGAGAGAGAGAGAGCAGCAGCAACGCTTCTTATGCTCACCGATAGTGAGAGTGATCTGTTGCTTTATCAGCGGCAGGCGGCTATTTTTAGACAAGCGTAAGACCGACCACAAAGCAGCAGACCACCAAAAATACAAAATACAAATACAAAATTTGCAAAAACACATCGTTCTTGTGTTTGTTTTGACAAACAAATAAATTAACTTAAAAATGCAACAGTTTTCAATAAGGCAACACTGGTATATAGAGAGAGGGCGAGAGAGCGAAAGAGTGATGCGCATTATTGTTGTTGTTCTGAATGGTTATCCCGCAGGTTGTGTGTGTGTGAGTGCGTACAAGTGTGTAACTGTGCATGTGGGCGTGATAATGCACAAATAAAATGCAACAAGAAACAAGCAAATGCCCATTCGCAGCAGCCAACGAGATAAAACTGAGCTTAGCAGCGAAATGTAAATACTACCACAACAATATAAGACGCAAACAGTTGAACGGCATGGCGAGCAACCGCAAAGACTACAACAATAATCGTACCGAATGCTGCATATGCCTAATATTTGCAGAACATGACGCGTCCAATTTACGGTAAACTCTTCTGATGTTTATTACTGTTGCATTTTCTATTCGCGATCGCACATCAACAAACACCGAATTCGAGTTGCAGTGCGGTCTGTTATTTGCAATTTCACATACTATAATGCAATATGATTTGCGTTAGCGGAGATTTGAATAAGAAACGCGATTTATTGTTTCATTTAATCGAAATTTTAAAACGCAGCACTTTTTGAGATAAACTGAAGCGATAAAATAGTCCGCGCACATAAGTCACGCGACGACCACCGAAAGAAACAAACTGCCGGTTAAATTTGATGCACTGTACAAGCCGTGAGCGCCGCTATCGATTGCGCATTACTTTTCGATGCCACCCAATGTGTAATCGATAGTTTTAGCCGCATTTTAGTGTGGTAGCAATTTTTATACTAAGAAAACTACCAAAAATAACTGTTTTTTGAAATCAAATAAATGTATTAAATATATATATATATGTATATATACAGATTTGTGCGCCTTTCACATCAAGATGTTATTTATACCCGTTAACATGGGCCGCTCATTCGGACCTTTAATGAATGTGCCCCACACTTGCAAAAATTCACTTCGTCTGCGTAATTTCTTTGGGCGGCTTGAAACAGCAATATTTATATTTTGCTTTGTCAGGTGCACCGGCCCATTAATATTAATGTGATAGTGGCTGTGGGTCACATACACGTTCCGCGACGTTGAAGACGAAGAATCGCGACACTGCACCACGGAAAGCCCGCTAGATTTCATGGCGGCGGGCTGCTTCCACATTACCACGCCCGAAGAATCGTCCGTATTTTGAAAAACACCCGTATCGGGGCCGCTGAAACTGCTGTTGGATGGATTGCGGCGTAGCTCATGGCAACTACTTATGCTGTTGCTGTTGACAGCGCGCAGTTCCTGAAGCAGCTCACGACAACGCGCCTGCAAATCATTCAACTGCTCTCTCAGCTCGATATTTTCCTTTAGAATTTTTGGCGAAGTTTCTGGATCGCACATTTTCTTTACTTCCTCCACTATCTTAGGTTTTTCCATAGTCTCTACGTCCCCTACTCTCTCCACGGTCTCCAATGCCACCACGGTCTCCACTGTCTCCACGGTCTCCACGGTCTCCAATGCCATTACGGTCTGCATGGTATCCACGGTCTCCAATGCCATCACGGGCTCCACAGTCTCCATGGTCTCCACTGCGTCCACGTTCTCCACGATTTCCATGGCATCGACTACCTCCAAGGTGTTCACTGTCTCCACTGTCTCCAATGTCTCCACTGTCTCCACTGTCTCCACTGTCTCCACTGTCTCCACTGTCTCCACTGTCTCGACTGTCTCCACTTTGTTCTCTTCGATGGGTTCGATGGGTTCGATGGGCTCGATCGGTTCGATCGGCACGTTTACGATAAAAGGAAGTGCAAGTATTTCTTCATCGTTTTGCATACAAGTTTTTGCCTGCAACTCCAACCACTGCAACAGTTTAGAGAGCGCCACAGTGGTAATGAGGACAAGTCCATAGGTTTTGAGCATATCAAATAAACGATCTATAATGTTATTTTGTTCCGATTGGCTAGGACAATAATTTAGCACATCTGTGAGGGTTGGACGCTCTAAATATACGTTAAAATTGAGTTCTATTTAAAAAAAAGAGTCCCTAACACAATTACCTGTATACAGTTCCACGACGTAATCTGATTTAGTTGGCAGCTCCTCGATGGCGTGTAAATAGCATAACAACGACCACGAAATAAACGCCAAGGCGCACAAAAACGTAAAACTTATGTTTTGAAACATATTTCCCCCTAAAATTTTAAGAAGGTTTTTTGTAACATGTGTCTGCTTTTAAAACTATAAACAAGTGTTGTGGAAATTTTCAGTACAGACGAAACAAGTGACAGAAATAAAAATGCATGGCTATAGCAAAACAAGATTTTTGAATTTAAAAATAAAGCGTTCGATTAAGCGCATAAGTTATCGGTTTAGTCTGCTAATCAACAACATATCGATACATCGATAAATGCACATGTCGGCGCGCATTGTGAGTGCCGCAGTTGAAACGTGCAGGTTTTTTTTTATAAACACACTTTAAAATGGAGTTAATGGTATGTTGACAAAAGTAGAGAATATTTTGAAGCAAACTAATATAATCAGTACATAAAAGCATGGCGCTTCGCTGCTCTCAAGACCGGCCGAGGAGTTCGGCAACGATTCTCTCGTGGAGGAAATGTGGGCTGCCAAGGCGCTCGAGCATGCGGAAGTGCATTTCAACGTGAGTATAATAAATTATAAACTACAAATATATAAAACTCTCTTTTCGCTTAGCTGCTGACCAGCGTGCCGCCCGCACAGCTGCGCCTGACGCCCTACGATGACCAGATCTATGCCACCTTCCGACAAGACTTTCCCGATCTGCAAGTGGCTCGCCTCAGCGACGACATACTCAAGTCGGCCACAGAGAAGCTCAAGTGGCGTCAATTTGCCGAGAAATTCAATAAAATGGAAGACTATTCGTACGGCACTCTGATGCGAGCCGATGCCAGCAAGGAATTCTCACCAGACAACTCAATCTTTGTTTTTCGCGTCCAATTTCTGGCCATTGAAATTGCGCGTAATCGCGAGGGCCACAACGACGAGGTGCACAACCGGCACAGGCCGGCAAAGAAACCTCAGATCAACTCGGAGACGGCTCAATGATGCGACTCAGTAGCTTTTCAACTTGTCTGTCAGTTAGTTTAGGTTTAAAGTAAATAAATTTACAGCATTTGTTGGCTGTAAGGCATGCCAAGCATTGCACTAAGTAAATGCTCCTGTTTCATTTCCTACATCTGATTTCTGGAACAGAATTCTTATTGGGATGTACGCCAATTAGAATCCGGCGCAGCTCAGACGCTTTGTCAGCTCGTATAAATCGCAAGTTAGACTCAACTTTGTTGGCAGAAAGATGAATTTCCGCAGTGTATAATGCAATAATGTATTAATATATAATTTATGTTTAAGCTATAGCTAAGTATTGTCCGCACTAGGCGCAAGTTGCCACCCCCCTTGCTTGCTGCCACCCATCAGTCTTGCTTTGTATCTCCTGTGCCTACAGCCCGTTGCTGTTGCACATCATCAGTATGAAGGGTATCATCGCATCGATTTGCATTTGCCCCACCAGATTGGCAAAGAACAGCTCCTCGGTCAGATCCGACTCCAGCACGCTTAGCGGCAGGAGACTAGCAAACAGTCCATTGGCGCGCTCCTCGCCGCCGCTTTGGCGGCGCAGCGTGGAGAGCGCATAGAGCTGAACCCGCTTGACATAGGCGCGCAGTGAACGCTCACGTCGGTTCTGTTGCAGCATCAGCGGATTGAAGAGCAACACTAGACGCAGCAGGCCGAACTCCAGATCAGTCACATCCTGTGTCTGCAACTCCTGCACAAAGTCGTGCAGTGTGCGTGTTATTTGCGCCAGCTTTGCAATCTTTTGCGGCTCTATCTTATCAATGTCAGCCACTTGGCGCACGCTCTGCACCAGCTGTCCAATGATCGTGGGCACGGCCAGCTGGCGTTGGCATTGGGCCAGGGCCACAGCCAGCAGTGCGGGCCAAGCGCCACGCAGCAGCTTCATCTGTGTGTGCGCGTCCAGCAGCTCGAAGGCGGGCACCTTGCGCAGCGTGTGCACGGTCAGAAAAATGATCCTGGCGCCCGTTTCGCATACATAGTGCATATTGAGATATGAATGGACTAGCGCCGGCGGCTGCACGTGGAACGCACACTGCGCCTCGGACGCGAACAGATCCTGGGCAAAAATTGCTTCGTTAGCCACAAAATCGCCACGACTACAGTACTCAAAGTCCAAGTCCATGTGCTCCACAAGATCGGCATCGACATCCTCCGTTCCGCTGTCCTCCGCATCCGAATCGCATTCGGGCTTGATGCTCAGCGCAGCTGCGGCTGTATTCTGGCCGCTCTGATTCCTGTCCAGCTGCTGCTGTATGGGCTGCAGCAGTTGCAGCGCCTTTTCTATGGCACGCTTGTCCATCGAGCTTTGTATGAGTCCAACCGTGGCGGGTGTGGGCAGCGCTGTTGCATCAGCAGCGGCGGCAGCGGCAGCTGCTGCATTGAAATTCAAATGCTGTGAATTATTGTTGCTGGCGCTGTTGGCCAGCAGCTGTAGGCACAAGGTGCTGCTGTTGTCCATCGAATCATCTTCGTCCTCGTCCAGTTCCGGCTTGGCCAGCTCCGGCGAGTAACAGTGACTGGGCGCATTGCTGCTTGCCGCCTGCTGCTGTTGTTGCTGCTGCTGCGTGGCGAGCACTGAAAAGTTGAGATTTCTTATTGGAAGCCAATCAGCTGGACGGCTGCACTTACTCAGCGTTTGTGTTAGCTCTGCAAAGTTGAGGCTCATGGGGAATAGGTTCTCGCTTAGCCCAAAGGGCGTTGTTGCCGTGCTGGCCGGGGGCGTGGCAGCATGCTGAAACAGGGCAGCGCTGGCCGCCGATGCGGCTGCCGCAGCTGCCGCTGAGGCATGCTGCTGCTGTTGCTGCTGCTTCACACGCACCTGCTGATAGCCGGACTTGCCAGCCGCTGAGCCACTCGAGGCGCCCGTAGTGCTTGAGGAGCCAGAGACGCTGCCCGTTGCGCCAGAGACGATGCCATCTTTTCTATCCACAATGGGTTTGCGTTCGTGCTGCACGGCTGCAGATGGTGGCACAGAAAAAAGTAAAGAGAAAGCAATTAGCGAGTGTTGCAGTTAAATAACGGTACATGATGTGCTGCATATGGCAGTGGTGTGTATGTGTGTGTGTTGTGTGTAAATAAGCGTGCATGTGTGAGCGTGTGTACAAGTAAGCGTGATGTATGTGTTAGTATTGGAGCATGACGACATTTAAGTTTCGAAGGAACAAATACATTAGCACCAGGTAATAATAACCTTTGTCTTGAATTATTTGAAATGGTTTTTGAAAATCCAATATGTAAAAGTAGTTCTAATTAGAGTAATAAAAACAATTGGTCTAGCATGGATACAGGGAGAAGGACATGGCTATATCAAATCATCTGATGATAATGATAAAAAATATAAATAGACGATATAATCGCTCGGAAAACGAGGAAAATCGTATTTTCTACCTGGTGGCAACTTATCCAAATTGCCAGGTGGCAGCTCTAAAGCTAATAGCAATCTAATCAGAATTCAAGTAAATAGGAGTTACCAGATGCGTCCCCAAACTGCGAGCATCGTTTCTCAATAAAACTTGTAATTTGCTGTGCGTGTGTGTATGTGTGTGTGCATGCGTGTGCTTTGGGTAAATGAATTTGTGTGTGTGTGTGTGTGTGTGTGTGGGGTGCGTGCAATTGTGGTTTTTTGGGGAGTTTTTGAGACGACGACTTAAACGAAAATTACAATCACTTCGCATGCCGCTGGCCAAACACTTTTGCAGCCGACAGAATTGACACCTGTTGCGATGGTGTTTGGTCACCTCACAGTTCATGGCCCCGCGGCACTGATAGCCCAGCTGCTTGCGTATGGATCGCTTGAAGAAGCCCTTGCAGCCCTCGCAGCTGATGGCCCCGTAATGACGGCCGGATGCTCGATCGCCACACACAAGGCACAGCTCCACGGATGAGAGGGAAGCGGCGGCTGCAGCGGAGCTGGCGGCGTTTCCGGCTGCAACGGCTGCTGCATTGCTGTTGCTGCTGCTGCCGCTTGGGTGATTCAAGCCCATTGCACGGGGCTCTGTTAGCAGAAAAGGAAATAAGAACAAGAACAACACATTATTACACGCACTGGCAGAGTTGGGCGTACAAGTTTTCAGCTTGGCTCACCTTCAGTTTTAATGCCGCTGCTTGTGCCCATCATAAAGCCCAAGTGAAGACTGCAAGCTGTTGCTTCTTTGTGTTAGTTTGCCTTTTTAGAACTTGTTTTTCGTGGCGAATGTGTGCGTATGTGTGTGTGTGTGGATGTGTGTGCGTACGTGCGCTGCTTACTTCGAGTTTAATTACACGACTGGCAAATGTTTTAAAAACATTGTTTTCGAACTCAAATCAGCAGCTATTATATTCACTTTACACCTTCACCTTTAATGTGTCTTTTTTTAAATATTTAAAGCCATTTAAAATGAGCTTTTGAGCAGCAGCGAAAATCTTTAACCTTTCGATAAAAAAATTCAACTAAGTGGCAACGCTATAATATAGTGTGACCAGCTCATTTGTAGTGGAAAATACCTACTATTGCAAGTTGTACTTATACATCGATTATTAAATAAAAATAATCGATACTGCGACCCACGATAAGTTCAACTAGAGTGCGCGAGTTTAAAATTATAGTATTTTTCTTTCATTTGATTTTTAAAAATACGATTAATTTTACAAATAATAAGATAACACAATTAAATAAAACGTACAAATTACTTATTTACTTAAGTTTTCTGTGAAATGAATTACACTTTTTTGGTCTTACAAACGATTAGGCCACAAATTGCTCTCAAAAAATAGCTGATTGCAGTGGGAAGAGGTCCAAAATGGAAAACTTAAGGCGCGGGTAAACGAGGGAAGCGCACATCTTTAACCTACACACATTTTACGATACTACATATCAGCTAGCATCATATAATTATTAACTACAGTCGATTCACATTATTTATTCTTTAAGCCCATTGCACGTTTGGTGGCGCGTCCAAGGAAGATGCCCGTCAGAAAGACCAAGCCCGTGGCGCTCATTAATATCACAAGGAAGAACTTTCGTGCCGGCGACGTAACCACCTGTTGCACCAGCTGCTGCATGTCCTCCGGTGGCTGGGCTAGCGCATCGTCCGCATTGCGAAACATTTCGATGCGCCTTTCCAGCTTCTCACGACAATCCAGCTCCAGGGAGTTCGGCGTCTCGCGCAATAGTGTGCGTAGGCAACTCAGTTCTAGACATAGACAATAAAACACATATTTAATATGAAGATTTGTAAATGTTTTTACTCCACTTACTACGTCCGTCGCCGCTGATGACTTTGCTGCAGTAACGCAGTAGATCTACAGTGCATGACGATTCCAATATGGGATCAACGTGTATATCCGCCTTGGCCTCGGCTATCAGGGTGGCCACTTCCAGTTGGCACTCGCGATTGATGAGTTGCTTGCGCAGAAAAGCGGCCTTTAGGCATTCCTCCACCTGGCCATGCTCATCTGCTTCCATATCCGCGTTGCACAGTTCCTGTATCTCAGATTTGCAAAAGTGCTGGAGCACAGGATTCAACTTATAGTTTAATGCCTGCTCCTGCAGTATTTTGATCATCTCCTGAGCGCATGGCCTATCCAATTTCGATTGCCTGAATTTGTCCTTTAAACACTTAATAACCTATTTAAACGAGAGTAAACAAAACGTTTAAGAATTAATTTCTCGTTGTTGAATTTTAATTCCTAGTTCCATCAGGCCACAACTTTGAATAATTTTGATTGGCTGCGGTAACTGATTTTCACAATTTTCCGAATTTCAAATGGAATTTGCTCGTGAGCTCAGTTGAGAGACGCGTTCGCGGCGATAACGAAACGTCAGAAACGATCGCAATTGACAAGCGTGTTGGATCGTCCGCTGTTTACAGTCAGTTCAGTCCGATGCGTAGACGTGTCGTATACGTGATGTTAGCTCTTTGCGGCCTGCTGTTCGCTGGCCTCGCCGGCTGGTTGCTGGTCTCAATGAACGCTTTGGCGGATGCAGCTGTGCCAATGTCAACGGTGACAGTGGACCTTGCTGATGGACAGGGCGCCGTCCGTGGCAATTTCGGACAGACGACCTGGACGGGTCAAAGTTTTGTGCAATTTCGTGGTATACCCTTTGCCGAAGCGCCCATCGGAGATCTGCGTTTTCGTGTGGGTTGAGAGTCCAATACTTCAGCGTCAAGTGATACTGAACCACTTAATAAGAGCTGATAAACGACCTTTATGACGTTCATTAAAATCATATAAATTTGCACCTCTCCCTGTAAAACAACACAGCCACCTGTTGCTCGCTCGCCCTGGACTGAGACACACGATGCCTTGGACTTTGGACAACGCTGTCCGGTGATAACTAATTTGGATGCTCAGACGCCGGAGGCTCAGCTAGAGGATTGCCTAAATCTATGCGTCTACACAAAGAATGTAAGTGTTATCAAAGTTTGATGTTTCGACTTTAAGGCAAAACAGTATTTGCATAATTAATTTAGTTAAAACATTGCCTTGTTTATGTCAAGTTGTACTGATTTGAATGCTACAGATATATTATTATTAATGATTATTTTAAAAGGATATATCAATACAAATATATTCCCCATGAGAAGCATGCATAATTACAGCTTGAACAAATAAATTAATAGCCCGCAAGCATGTGTAACGTCATAAATTAATATGACTTTAAATTGGTTGCAAAAACAGACTAAAAATACAATAAAAGGTAAAACAAAGACGTGTGACTATCTAAAGCAGCTGTTTAGGGAATCACCAAGCATTGTTCATTTCTTAATATGAGCTATTACAAACTTGTGCGAAAACCGTTTGAGAATATTGAGCACGGAGGTTAATTATTAATTAATGTAACTATACGACCTCAATTATCATAAATTAGATATATGTCTATCATGGCAGATATGCATTAATCCTGCCTCATTTGATAACTTTTGAAAATCGCATAGAAAGGCGATTTATATTTTATACACACACATATTATTTTCTTGACAGCTAACGGCTCGTCAGCCAGTGATGTTTTATGTTTATGGCGGCGGCTATTACAATGGCTCCTCGCAGGATCATCCGCCAAACTATTTGCTGGAACGTGATATCGTCTTGGTGGTGCCACATTATCGCGTCGGCGCCTTGGGCTGGCTGTCAACATACACCGAGGAGCTGCCTGGCAATGCGCCCATTGGCGATATACTATTGGCATTAGAGTGGGTGCAGCAACATATTCACAAGTTCGGCGGCGATCCCAGTCAGGTGACCATATTCGGTCAGAGTGCTGGGGCGGGCGTGACCAGTGCCTTGCTCCTGAGTCCACGCACCTCTGTCAAGCATTTTCAACGTGCAATTGTGCAGTCCGGCTCGATATTCGCCACCTGGGCGATTACTAAAGATCCAGCTGGACAGGCTCAGCGAATTTGCACCGCATTGGGCTGCCAACGATGCGACGAGCAGGAGCAGCTGTTACGCTGCGTGCGTGCGGCTTCCGTTGTGGAGCTGTTGCAGGCCACCAAAACGGAGAGTTTCTCACCTATTGTAGGAGATCTGCAAGGCATTTTGCCAAACAACCCAGAGGAGCTGCTCAAGGACTATCAGCGTGCTGTGCCGCTCATGACGGGCTTCACACGACACGATGGCTCCTTCGTGCTCGCCTGTGAGTGGCCGGCCAATCTTCGTGAACGAATCCTTCAGTTAACTCCATAAGCTTTTCATTTACAGCGTTTTACGATGAAGTTACAGCCAAGATCTCGAATATCAGCGCTCTGAGCGTGCGTCAGTTCTCGCAAGCCATAGTCGACATGGCCAAAGACGGAACGGGCTTGGCAGATAATTTGCTTTATCGTCTGCTCTATACGCCGCAGCTGTTAGAAAGTCACGCCCACAGAGACGCTTTGCCCGCCTATTTTGACGTGAGTTATTGGGTATTAATATTGGGCCTCCGACTTTTTATCCCTACTCTTCTACACAGCTCACATCGATAATTGCCATGAAGTCGCCGGTCATCAGCCTGGCCACCAAGCTGCATACACGTCAGCCAGCTGCTCCTGTGTATGTCTACAGCTTCGAGTACGAGGGTCAGCATACGCGCTTCGGCTACGAGTTTGGCAACTCGCATTATCCGTTTAATGGTGGAGCGCATCATTCGGACGATAATATTTATCTGTTTGCCACGCATCCGCTGCAGGAGCAGGACACGTTGATGGCTCAGAACATGGTCGAATTGTGGACATCGTTTGCCATCAGCGGAGTGCCCAAGAATCTGAACGCTTTAACTAGCCCCAGTGGACCCTATAATCGCCTGGGACTACACATAACCGAAGATGACGATTTGCTGAAGACGCTGACAGCCACGATTGATGATCCAGATAATGGACGTTTACAGCGCACAAATGTGGAGTTTTAAAATGTTGTCAAGGTGCATGGTAAAAGGGGCTTTATATTATAGTACATTTGTAGAATATTATTTAGATAAAAAATATATTAGAGTTGAATATAGCTTGAATAATAAAAAAAATTAACCCGTAACGGACTTCGTTCTAAAATACAAAAGGTTCCAAGCTTCGTTTCTCATTTATCATTAACATACATTGATATGTTAAGATATTATGAAATAGTTGTGATAACTCTTAATAACATTTACAGTACCTGTAAAACTAATACTATGTTAAAAAGCTGTTATTAGCATTTGTATGCTATGTTATCTAGCTGTAAATGTAAGTGGCGAGCTGTTATGTGAGCATTTAACACACATACTTCGTCTTGGGGCATTTAATCAGCCATAGTAGAACTTTTAAATATGACAAGTGAATTTGTATCACTTTAATAGCGTGAATATACTTATAACAAGTTCATATATAGTATAAAGACAGCTAGACAGATAGACGAACATGTCTTTCCCGTATAATCTAATCGAATCTAATCTTAACTTTCCTTCACAACTACTAGATTTAGAAGCTTAATTAGGCACCCTTTTAGATTTTCATAATTTTCCCAGAATTTACTAATTCACTTGCCTATGCCTCATAGCAGCTGTGATAACAAACGAATATTGGGATTATGTACTCTTTAACATGATGTGAACTTGTTTTTACCTAAGTAAAACTGGTTAACGCTCACCTTGCCATTAAGTTCCTCATTTGGCTGTGCTGTGGCCACAATATTGGAGCAGTAGCGATCAATGTTCTTGCCACAGGCCATCTGTAGCGTGGGATTGAAACGAAAGTCCGTATTTTGTTCGATCATTCGATTGACGACTACCAAGTGGCAGCGCTGGTCAAAGTTGGGATCATCCTTGTAGGTCTTGAGGCAGTCCAATAGCTGCACAGATTCTGTGTTGGGGCAGAATTTGTAGACCATGTCCTTGCAGGTGTTGATCAGTGTGTAGTCCGTGCCACTGTCACCCAGCTCCGAGCGCTTGATCATAAATATCGCATGATGGCAGGCCTTACCCAGGTTTGAGGTTTTTTGAATCAGACATTCCAAGGCCTGCGGAATAATATGATTAATTAATATGCTCCAAACAAACTAGAAGGTTTTAGTTTGCGTGTGTAGGGTGGTGTTTTAGAATTAAAATGACTCGAATGACTTGCATTTTTATTCACCTGACCGGGACCCTTCTGATCTGAACAGAACTCCTTTAATTCATTCTTGCAGGCATTGCCCAGCTTGGGATCTAGCACAATACTTTCGCGCTGCTGATACAGCTGCGACTTGACTTGTTGCCGACAATCTTTGGGTATCTGATGGCGCTGCAAACGTATGGTATCGTTGCGAATGACTTCACTAAGGCAGGCAACCACCTCATTTTTGGTGGCGCTTGCTCCGCAGAAGCGCACCACATGTCGACGGCACGCCTCCTTGAACTTGGTGGTGAAATGATAGCTCTTTAGTGAGATAATCTGAAAGTGCTCAATGGCGGCGCGACAGCCTTTGTTTAAATCGGCATCGTTTTTGTGCGAGATCAGGCAGTCCATCATGTTGCCTATAAAGAAAAGTTACAAAAGAACATGAGGTATGGAGCAGCTACTAGAAAGAAAAACTTACCATTATCCTTGCCGGTATTAAGTATTTCCGAACAATGTTTTTGCATTGCTTCCGAACAAGCAGCCATAATAACTGGATTCAGTTCGACGTGGGCTGCCTCCTCTTCTGTGTATTTGGTCACAACCGTTTTACATTCGGGCTGCAGTTTCTCAAGCATGTTCTGCAGGCACTCCATTTCGGTTCCCTTTTCGGTGAGCTCGCCGCAGTATTGCGACAAATCGGAGAGGCAATAATCCTCCACCTCGGGTATAAGATCCACGGAAATGGCGCGCTGCCGCATCACACGCTTGACCTCCCGAAAGCAGTCCTTGCGCAACGTCTGATGCTCATCCTCGCTATAGGCCATGCGATGCAGGCAGGGCAGTATCATGGGGCCTCGTTCGGGATCCATTTGGACATCCTGTATATCGTCCCATTGGCGCTTAGCACGACAGTACTTGACGGCATCGTCGCGACAGTGCTTGTAGAGCTGCGGATCCAGCTTGAAGTCGCGCGCCACAAAATACTCAATGATAAGCAGCGCCTGCTCACATTCAGGCCGCATAACGGGCGTGCCTATGCGCTCCATTAGGCAGCTCATGACACGCGCTTCACCGCCCTCAACATCCTTGCAGGCGACATCCACAACTTTCTTGCAGGCTCTTCTTAGTACGGGATCAACGCGCCAATCTTCGCCCGCATCGCTCACCTTGATAAGCGCCTCAAGTCCACGCTGACACTGAGATGTGACACGTCGCTGTGGCCGCCGCGCACGCACATGATACATCAGACAGTGTATGATCTCGCCGCCAGAGCTGGAGAGGCCGTTGACCAGTTGCGATTTGTGCTCGTCCGGACAGAATTTGGGTATGTCGTCAGCGCAGTCGCTGAGTAGCTCCGGCGATAGCTGATAGTCGGTCATCAACATGCGCCGATGGTCATTCAGCTCTACAAGGCACTCGGGTGCCACTTTGGTGCCGTTCTTCGCCACAGACTCCAGGCAAAGCAAGATTTGAGCCAGTCGCACCTGCTTGTCCTCGGAAACGCCGCGTCGGCAATGATGCAGCTTGATTTCATCCTTGCAAGCCTTGGCTAGGCCATGTGACACACGATAATCACGTCCCATTTGCTGATCACGCAACGATATCTGCCCCACACAGTGGCTGCTCAGTGATGGATCGTTCTTGTGACGCACCAGACATTTTAACGCACTTGGTGTACCGGCACGTTCCTAGAAAATGGAATATGGGATTAGTCCAATTCAAGGGTTGTTTTTCAGACTCACTTGTGGGCAGAGCGCCGTCAGGTCCCCGGAACAAACCCGAAACAGCTCCATCATGCCACGTTGCTGCTCAATGGCATTTATAGCCACTTTGCAGGTGAGGTCCATGGGCGTTGCCTGACTCGCATGCGCCACCAGGCATTGGGCAGTGCCCAGCTGGGAGAGCAGCGCTGGCAAGTGCTCCACATTCATGCGTCCACATTTATGCTGCTCAACCAGAGAGCCGCAAGCTGCATAGAAGTCACCAATGTTGGCATAGTCCTCACCCAGGGCCGTGTGTGCGCGGCGCAGTTGCTGCTGGCAGGTGTTGCTCTGTGGCAGTTCCTGACGTTTATCCTCCAGGCAGGCCCACAGATCGACCGAGTTTAGGCAGCTTAACAACTTGCTCTGCTCCTCGGCACAATAGCTGGGCAGCAAGGTGTGCTCCACCCAAGAGTTTAGCTGCAGCTGACGTTGCTGCAGCCACAGTGCATGCTGACATGGCTCCGGCAGCGCCTCCAGTTGGCTGGAACTGAAACTCAATGCGCACTCAAGCATGGCCAAATTGTCGCTTGTCTTCTGGTGCGTGCAATATTTGTGCAGATCCTGGCAGTCCGCCAGATCAATGATGCTGTGCAACTGCGTGGCAGCAGCAGCAGCCTTATTGGCATCCATGTCAATGGAAGCACGGCGGGAACGACTGTTGGCAAAGATCGTGACATCGTCACCAGTTGCCGCCCACAGCCACGACAACAGCAACAAGCATTCAAATTTCATTTTTGATTCACACTTTGGCAGTTTGGTTCTTTTCATTAACTTCAACTGAACATTTAAGCATTTGCGTTAATAATTTCCACAATGTACACAATAAATGTTATCTGTATATCAATTCGTCACACGTTTGCTGTGCATTAAGTTCTCCAAGTGCAACAATAAATCGACAAAAGGCCGGTAGAAAATGCAGCGTTCAAGTTGTAATCATATTTTGAGACGAACTGTGAGTGCAGTGGATTGGATTAGCCCCGTTATGCTACTTTAAATTGGGGCAACATTTAAAATGTTAATATCAGCACTTTTTTGTGAAATAATGAATTATTCGCTTTTTTCGTTTTTTATTTTAACACTTAACTTGTTCAACAGCTGCATACAGAATGCTAATAAGAATAATAGCTATCGATTGCTCTTCTGTTAGCAATCGATAGAAAGAGTATGCGAACATTTTACTTATCGAAATTTGTGACGTCAATAGATGATAAAAGTAAATGTCTAGAGAAGACCCGGAAAGTTTGTTTGTCATTATGTACATTTTTGCAATATATATTTAATAATATTTGTTTTTTAGCATAAGCATTTTTTCTGTTTCGTGATGTACTCATACATTCGATACTTTTTTGTAGCCATGTAGACTGCCCATCTCTAACTGCCTATGAGTCGTTCGAAAACAAAAGAAAGTATTTTTTTTGCTGGCAAACATTAACCATTTCACTCCAGTAATTGTATGTAGTGCACACATAAATTATTTAAACTCATTCAACCATTCAATCATCATACTTACGGTCTCCATATTGCGAACCTTTAAAGTAACGTCCTCCAACTACGGCATCGAAGTGGGCGTCTTCAAACGCTGAGGAGGCGGCGGCTAACGAACGCACACCGCTCATGGACGAGCACGACGTCCCATCGTCGTCGTCGGCGGCGGCGGCGGCAGACGTTGATGGCAGCCAGAGCGGCGCAGCAGAGCGTTTGGAACGTCCTCCAAGGCGGCAACAAAAAAAGAAAATCAGCAATTATGGTTCCAATGAGCAGCTGGAAAGGAATAATGCAGATCATACTGACGGGGTAGGCATACTTAGATGTTCTGCGTTCATTGCATAGCTGAAATTTGTGTTTTGCAGCCTGTGCTAGCCGTGCCCTACGTTGTTGTACGCGGAACTAACTCTCAGCCTCCTAGATTAAGCGGGGGCGGCGCTGATGGCGGTCCTGGACTGTCACAACAGGAGCTCGAAGAAGAGCAGGGTCTTAAATACGGTGCACAACATGTCATCAAACTATTTGTGCCCGTTTCGCTGTGCATGCTGGTCGTTGTGGCTACCATTAACTCGATTAGCTTTTACAACAGCACAGATGTATATCTGTAAGTGGTTCGCAATACTAACATATATAATTAAGAAATCAATATTTATAACTTAACTTTTCATTTGACAGGCTTTACACGCCGTTTCACGAGCTATCGCCGGAACCGAGTGTCAAGTTATGGAATGCATTAGCTAACTCCTTGATCCTCATGAGCGTGGTTGTTGTAATGACCATTCTGCTGATTGTTTTGTACAAGAAACGCTGCTACCGCGTCATACACGGCTGGCTGATACTGTCCTCGTTTATGCTCCTATTCATTTTCACGTACTTATACTTGGAGGAGCTGCTACGTGCATACAACATTCCTATGGACTATCCCACGGCAGTACTGATCATGTGGAACTTTGGCGTGGCTGGCATGATGTCAATACATTGGCATGGTCCACTGCGTTTGCAGCAGGGTTATCTAATATTTGTAGCTGCTTTGATGGCCCTGGTGTTTATTAAATATCTACCCGAATGGACGGCCTGGGCTGTGCTGGCAGCTATCTCCATATGGGGTACGGTTCATTTTTAACGAATCCCTACCTAGTTATTAACTTTATCTCAATTCCAGATCTCATAGCCGTACTGTCGCCTCGAGGACCGTTGCGCATATTGGTAGAAACCGCACAGGAGCGCAACGAGCAAATCTTTCCTGCTTTAATATACTCCTGTAAGTCCGCTACTTTTGTATGGTTGTTGCCAATCACTGTTTTACCAGCCAATTTCCCTGTAGCCACGGTTATTTACACCTACATGGGTACACATTATACGCCGGAACAGCCACTGCCAACAGCCACATCCTCGCCGTCATATAGTAACTCGACAACAACAACGCGCACCACACAAAACTCGTTGGCATCGCCAGAGCCAGCTACAGGTGATAGCACTGCACGTCCAGGTAATTCGCGCGCCCATCAGCGTCAGCAGGAAACTCAGGCGGCTGCTGAAGGTATGCCACTTGTGACATTTAAAAGAAATTTGCACGGAAACGGTACATATGCATTTATTTTTTATGATTTGTTCTTAATCTTAAAAGCTTAGTTGAGCGTCTGTACTCAGAACTCGTTTAATGTGTAGTGAACTTTAAATTGCGCCTAAGCTTGAATTGAATATTAACGTAATTCAGTTGCCCAAGTTTTATTTTAATAAGTGGCTTCCTGCCTTAGGCGCAATTTCTAGCGCAAGCTTGTTGGCCTTCTGTTTTTGTTGCTTAATTGGTTAAAAGATGCTTTTAGTAATCAGTCTCAACTTTTTTAAGAAATTTAGAATAAAAACATTCGTGTTCTATTTTAAAGAAGAGGCCGCTGGTTTTACACAAGAATGGTCTGCCAATCTCAATGACCGCGTGGCTCGCCGACAAATTGAGGTACAAAGCACTCAGAACGGAAATGGACGCCTCTCCAATGAATATCGTACGGTCACAGCACCTGATCAACCTCAGCCGGAATTGCCAGAAGAACGTAAGTAAATGTAGTAAAAATAGTTTTATACCAATACATGGTACTTATTTGATTTTTGATTTGTAGGTGGTATCAAGCTTGGTCTGGGCGATTTCATTTTCTATTCCGTGCTGGTGGGCAAGGCCTCCAGCTATGGCGACTGGACAACAACAATTGCCTGCTTTGTGGCCATATTGATTGGCCTTTGCCTGACGCTACTGCTCTTGGCCGTTTGGCGCAAGGCACTGCCAGCCCTGCCCATTTCAATAACCTTTGGCCTGATTTTTTGCTTTGCCACTAGCGCTGTGGTCAAGCCCTTTATGGAGAATCTGTCGGCCAAGCAGGTGTTTATATAAAAGACAATTAGCATATAAATTTGTGTACTAATATTCAGTGTAACCGTAGTCCAAGCTACCGTTTTACAATACATTCTCTATTTAATAAAGCGTAGTAACAAACAAAAAAATGCAATGCCTATGTTGCCTTTAGCTTGACTATTGTTTTGTCTACCAAATTAACGAGCCATCCTGGCTCCAGGCCGTGAAACAGTTGGCGTGGATCCTTGGCTGCCGTGAGCATTTCATAATTAACATCGTCCTCTATGCGCGGCAGCTCGTAGCCGTATTTTTGTGCCAGCACCAGTCGTTCCTTACTGATCTCCTCGGGATTGGCCAAATATCCGCGATTCTTGGCATCTGTGTAGTACTCAACAGCATCCTGTGGCGGCAGCATGCGTTGTGGTATGGGCAAGCCCTTCTCAAACCATTTTTTCGGATTGGCCAGAATGTGAAGACTGCGCGGATCGTAGTAAGCAGTACGGATGACCCCACCATTGCGCTCCACAGCTGCTATGACAGCCTCGCTTGCATGCTGCACCTCAATGTTAATCTTCGCCTTGAAATTGTCCAATCCATCGTCCGTCAGCTGAAATCCATACTGAAGTTCCGCCGGCTTCAGCGACAATAGGCCAGAATTACAAAGGGTGGCGATGTCAATTGGTTGGCTAATATCAATCCGGTTGGTGTCAATTAACACCTGCAGCTTTAGCATCGAAATGGCTGGATATTGACGACGCATGTGATGGCCCTTGTAGTAGGGCTCGTAGGGAAAGCGTAAATAGAAGGGCTGGTTGCCTGTTTCGTAACCCAGTCGCATGAAATTTTGCCGCTGGCCTGAGCCCTTGTTGCCGGCACCGTGTTTATCGCCACCATGCTGGGCACGTCCGCGTTTGTCCTGAAAAATCATCAAGCTTGTAGTCAGAATCCCAAACTGTCCTTCAATGTTGTTATTCAACCGGCCACTTGATCACTTACGTTCTGTTTCGAGTTGGGATTCGGTCGCAGGTTGCCAATTTGTACGCGCGGCAAGGTACGTAATAATTTTAAGGCCTTCTCTGAGCTCTCACGCAAATGCGCCATCGGATGATTGATTTTTTAAATTAAATATTTTAAATAAAAATCAACACGAGAACATATAAATTACACTCAGTCGATTATCAGCACTGTCGCTCTGCTCTTAACAAACACTGGTTACCAGCGTTGCCACACAGTGTACGAAAACTCGCTAACATAAATCTGTCTTCCAACCCTAGTACCGCTGAATTTGTACACAAAATATAAATAAAAAATTGAGATAATAAATATAAATAATAAATTACTGCCAATATGAATTGTGCCACGTGTCAAGGCAATAGTGAGCAAACAACAAAATGCTTTTTAAAGGCGCTGGACACCATAAAACAACATTTTTTGCGTAAGCCGGTTTCTTATTATAGCTCTAAGCTAGCCATAGATAATGCCAATTTTCCTATAGTGCTGCAGGGCCTGTGTGTGGAAAAGGCAAATAGTATTAGCCTGTTAAATCAACGAAACGAAAAACTGCACAAAGCCCTCGAAATGCTGCGGCAAGGGCAGGAGCCCAGAGTCAAGTCAAGCCCCAAGCGTCGCAGACTGTCGCCCAAAAAGGCGAAAAAACAAATGTCACGCTACAGCAGCGCACTGGTGGATGCCTCTCCCATGATACCTGAGAGTCAGGACTCGCTGAACATGAACATAGCACTGCAACCAGATGATGAAGAGGAAGAAATCATAACAGAAACGGAGCCTGCAATCAGTCCCTACAAGCCCTGGAGCACACGTCGCAAGCTTAACACACGGAACTGCGAAAATGAGCAGCCGACAAGCACAACAACAACCGCCGATACCAATTGCCCCTGGCTAGGCAAAGTACCCAAGGACAAGTTGCCATTGAGCAAGACAAAAATGTCGCTGACATTGCGCGGCGATTCACCCAGACTGAAGCAAACGCGCCTGCATTTTGATGGCAGCAAGGCGAACAGTTCGGCCTGCGATAAAGATGTTATTGAATCCAGCCCCAATTTGTATACCTCGCTGAAGCATGCCAAACAGTCACGTTCGCTTTTACAGAGGTGGGTAGCCGACTGGGTTAAGAGTTAAGGTTCTATTAAAACAAAAATAACCTTATATAAGTTTGCAGAGCCGACAACAGCAGCGCCTTAGACATCAAAACCATCGCAAAAAGCGAAACGAAACCCAACAGCAATAACAAGCTCCTTTTTGACATGGATGACGACGAGTCGATCTTTGATCTGTGCCCAGATCCGTCAGCACCTCAACCACCTTCAGATCTCGCTCTGCCTCCCTTGAGCGGCGCTTCGGATACGTCCAGCGTAGTGTTGCTCACACCTGCCACACAGGATATTGTCTTTATTGACGATAGCATAAATGAAGCGGATACTTTGAACACAATGGACTTCATGGAGGAGGCCATTAAAGAGGATGACAAAGTCTCAATGACAAGGCTGCAGGAATTTGAAGCAAAGCTAATCGAAAAGCGTAAAATAGAGGCAGCCAAAGTAAAAAATAGCTCGAAGCCCATAAGTATAAAACATGAGCCGCTTACAGAGCTGCAAAATGATGTAGGTAATGAGTCAACCAAACTGCCACAAGATTTTGATATAGAAGACCAGGAAGAGGAGGAAGATGAGGAGGAGGAAATCTTTCCGCGTCCTATTCTGGTCAAACAAGAACCCGAAATGAGTGTAAAAGAACGCTACAATATTGCATGTCCACGTTGTGAGAAGGTAAAATATCATAACTTTTTCTTAAGTTCAATACCTAAAAATGTTTTTATATATTTTGACAGTTCATCAAGTTTATGGGCACAAATTTGAATGATGAAAAGATACGCAGATATCTGAGTAATTGCAGACACGATCGCGAACAGGAGAACAACACGCCTGCTGGCTTTTGGAATCCGCACATGATTTCATTTTCGGACGATGATCCACGTAACGAAGTTCACGTTGATCGTCGATTTGTTAATCAGCGGAAGAAATAGCAAACTTATAAGACTTGATTTAATTGTAAGAGCCCATCCACATAATTGTTGCAAATGCCTTATAATAAAATATTCATATCATTGCCTTTAAATTGTTAATTACAAATTGCCACGTTTGGCTTGTTCGATCTCAATAGCTGTAAAGAGAGACTTGAAGTTGCCAGCGCCAAAACCCTATAAACATAAATACAAATTAGAAAAAGATCTTATTTAAGAAAATAGTATCCAGCTTACGTTATGATTGTAACGCTGAATGACCTCAAGGAAGAGCGTAGGCCTGTCCTGGCAGTTCTTCGTAAAGATCTGCAGTAAATAACCATTTTCATCGAAATCCACCAAAATGTTCAGTTTCTTTAATATTTCCATGTCCTCCTTGATTTTGGTGCGACTATGGGATAGCTGCTCCTGCAGTATATCGTAGTACGACGAGGGTATGGTCAAGAACTCCGTACCGCGGGCCCGCAAGTTGCTCACAGCACCAATAATATCATCCGTATTGAGAGCTATGTGCTGCACACCAGCTCCGCCATAGTAGTCAACATATTCCTGGATCTGTGACTTCTTTTTGCCATTGGCTGGCTCATTGATGGGCATCTTGACCGTCTCCTCATAGTTGGCCATTACAATGGAGCGCAACGCCGAATATTCCGTGTGTATCTGGGAATCATCCACGGACCAGAAACGATGGAATTGCAAAATGCGCTCATACCAAGCGGCCACGCTCTCCATTTGCAAATCCGGCTGATTGCCGACCACATGATCTATGAAGTTCAACTTTGTGGGCGGCAGATGCTCCAGTAGCACATCCTTAACACCGCGTCGAAAACCAGGCAAAAAGTCGCCCGCATAGCCATTGCGCTCCACAAAAGTGTGCGTCGTGTCGCCGTACTGAAAAACAAATTGGAAAAATATATGTAATTATATGTGTTAAATGCATTAACTTAAAACTAAAAACTTAATAAATACCGTCTTAATGGTGGCAAATCTCACAAAGCCATCAGTATCGCTCTCCTCCCAGATATCGCGCACAACCTCAGCACCTCGGGCTACTGCCAAGTTAAATATTGCGTTCAAATCCTCCACTTCGAAGGCCACATCCTTGACACCATCGCCATGCTGCATCAAGTGCAGGCCGTGCTCTTTGTCATCCGGCGTGTACGCGGATACAAACACAAAGACAATCTTGTTCTGGCGCACAGCATGCTTCGCATAGCGTCGCTCGCCCGTCTCCAATCCCTGATAGCCAAGTGGTTCGAATCCCAGACGGGTCGTATAATAACTGGCCGCCTGCTTGGCGTTGCCAACGTAAAACGTTAGATGATCAAAGCTTAAGAATTTTCCGGCTTCAGGCTGTAAATATATCAAGTTAATTTTCTTTTCTCGGGCTTATTGATATGTGTACTCACTTTGGTTCCTTTGTCAATATAGCTTGTCTATGGTGAAGCATTAAAGAAAAGGCAGAAGTTAGTTCAGTTTTATAAGTATAAAAACATCAATTTTTAATCAGAGAGTAAACACTTCTCTATCCTCCCTCTTGAGATTAGAATTTCCAGCATTCATTTATTGACATTTAATTTTTGTGTAATATGTTTTTCTGGCGATCTTCACTTTCTTTCAGTGTTATAATACATATCTATATATTTTTTAATCCTTTAACACACTTTTTTGTTTTATTTTAGAAACTGTTGGATTTTATATCAACACTTAACAAAATGAAATATTTATTACCATTATCACTCAGACTCAATTTATGCAAAACTCTTCCTCACACGCGGTATTCAAGTATCTTTCACGAATTCACAGCAACGATCCGCCGATCTTTTAAGCGATCTTAACAAATGAACTATGGCTAAGCCATGCTGAAATGTGGCCTTATATAGGCCCCAGCCAACAGATCTGTTGATCAGATGAAAATCCTGTACTACTAACAGCTCATTTGAATATATGTCAAACTAGTATTTTGTTTACGTGTATTCTATATAAGAATCTGTATATTAAGAATCTGTTTGTTTGTTGTTATTGTTAGTCTTTTTGATATTCGCATATTTCAATAGGAATTGCAGAATCTGTTTACTGGAACAGGTGCTGCTACCTGTTATCAAAAACTGCATGTCATTTGTTTATCACACGTTTACAGCAAATACTGTTATTTATTTATTTATTCTGCCTGGCAACTATCCATAGCATATCTATAAAGTGGTTTGCTCTATTAAATGCGCTTTCCTTACACCACACAGCTCGGCTCATTATGCAGGCCAACCAAAATGTTTATGATATCAAGTTGTTTTTCGGCTTTTTATAACAATTTGCCGGCTGGCGCTTAAATATTCATAAGCTCTACAGGTTTGTTAAGTTCGTGCGACACGCGCTCGTTGCCAGAGGTCGCATTCAACTGGATTCTGTTGCGAGCCCCCGAAACTGTTTGTTCATGAATACTGCGACTTTACGTACTGACTTTGCAGTTCCTCTTCAGTTATTATAAGTACTTATTTCCTAAGTTTATTCAAAAGTATATCAAAGTTTACAACAGATTTTCAATAGCTAACAAGAATTTTTGATATATTTTTACATTTCTGATTGCAAGCTTAAGGATTTTACTCATTTTAAATGGAATTACAATTATCTGGAATAAAAAATTTGAAAAATCCAAGTTTGAGCATTTGTTAAAGCAACTTTTATATTGGTAATGGTAGGGCTTATCAATGACACTCCCTTGGGCCTTTCAGGGCTTTCATTTTTCTTGAAAAAATTATGATTAACATTATTATAAATAATTTATAAGCACCTTATCAAACTTTAAATGCAGCGTAATATCCATTTAATTACTGTTGAAATGTACTATTTCTGTTTCTATTTTCGAATAAAGATTAGAAAAATAAATTTATTTTTGCTCTTTTGCTGCCGTCGTTTTTATGCCCAAGCCGTTTGTTAATGGCCCTTTTGGCATGTGCCATCAATGCGACAAGCGCTGCTCGTAGATACCCTGTAACCTTCGCACGCCCCCCTCCCTATCCATTGCCCGACTGTCGCTGCGGATGCGCCCTAATAAGCCAATCATAATAAATGTCAAGCATCGAATTGGCTTTATGCCAATGGCCACTTGTGTGCCCAATCGACTGGCTCGATTAATGCTTAGCCGCCTGAGTTCATGCGTTGCTCATACGCCGTGTGTATTTGGTTTTTTTTTATACTGTATGGTATATAAATCGATTTAAATGGTGCGAGACAAAGGCGATATTTATGAGCAGGGGCTAAAAGATTGACGAGCAGATACAACTTCAGATTGCCAAACACCTGGCACAATGCGAGTGCACCATTTCTCAAGTGATGTAGAAGAAGAAGAAGGTGCAGGCAGACAAAACTGCCCTATCCCAAGTGTGTCGCATGATGGTGTCATATGTGAGGGAAAAATAAGCTAAAAGAACTAGCTAAAAACAGCAAGAAAATGGCTAGATGGAAAGATTTCTGTAGATTAAGGTTTTCAGCATTACTTCGGGCTATGGTATTATTTCTTGTTTTTTAGGATCTTTAAGAAATCATTGAAGACGTATTTTCCGGATAATCGAAGTCTAATTGATATCCGATTAAAATTGATTAAATAATAAAAAAACCAATCTGGAATTAAAGAAAGCAATCTTCAACTCGTTCAAGTGGATATAAATTAGGAATTGCTTACTAAATTTCCGTAAACCAATTCAAAGATAAAGTATCTCAGCTGCTTACAATATTATTTAAATTCCACCTGGCATTTCTCGAGACGCTTTAACACCTGGCACAAGCTGCCGTTAATCAAATTTTCTTTGTCTTGCTCCCGCTATTTGTATATTATATTTCTTATATTTGCGCTCAGACGTTTCTCATACCGCGGCTTGCCTCATCCTAAACAAAGTTGATGCTTTTAATATCTGTGACTCTGTTGTCCTTGGCGAAGGTTTTTTGCGCCGTTGCGCAGGTTTGTTTGGGTTTGATGTGGGTAGCCTGTTGCTTATGATAGCTATATTAAATTACACAGGCGCTCGCTCCCACTCTCCCACTCGCTCTCTCTCTCTCTCTCTTTCTCGCTCCTTTCTCTTACTCTGCTTTGTCTGTCTACTCTTTGTCTGACGCGCTCTTTTTAGCTCGGCAAGGGCATTGCCAGCTGCAAGCAAGCCAGCTCCAGGGGTTGCTTTTTGGGCTTGGAGGGTGCAAAGTATGTGTCAAGGGACAAAGGATGTGTGGAGTTGTTGCCATAGCCGCAAGCTGTCGGCGCCGCAACGTCGCCGTTTGCGTCACGCTTTCAGTAGCCTTTCGAGTCTCGTTTACTGCGCTTCGAAAACAACAACAACAACAACAAATCTCTAAAAACGAAAAATTGTTTATTACATTTAAAAAGCGGGGTAACAAAAACAACAACAGCCACAAAAAAACTACTTATGCACATTTTTTGCTCTATTATTATAAAAAGCCAAACGAACTTGAACTGTCGCTAGTTTTGTAACAATGTTAACAAAAAAAAAAACAAATGCTGAAAAAACTGAAAATCATTTGTCGCCATCTATTTTGCTATTATGCTGTGCTCTTTTTTAAGTATTGACAAATTTGTGCTTTGACCGGCGTATGATTAAAATCTAGCCAAAAAATAAATACAAGTCTATGAGCAGAGATAAATCCCCCGCAGCAAGGCAACAATTTGAAAAATTCACGCATTGAGAGCATTTTAATGTAGTCGCCAGTCGGTGGGCTATTAAAAATAGTTTTCATTATGATATACTTTTTTTTAGATCCAGGCCGATTTGCTGATTGATTGTTCAGTGTGAAAATGATCATAAATTTTACTGTCTTGTCTAGTTTTCAAAGTTGCCATGACGCGTCCAAATTCAATACAAAACGCGCCAGCTGCTATGGGTGCTGTGTGCCAGTCCTTCCCAAACTGTGCTCGCGGCTGCAATGCAAATCGCGCGCGATTTGTGTGCGTTTTTCGAAAAGCGGTACTCGCGCGCGTTTTCAATGCGATTATCTTAAATATAGGCTGTTGTTTAAATAATAATAGATAGATGCGTAGATCGAAATGTTTTACAAACATAAGTATTTTATAAAAACTAGATTATGTGTGATATGTGATAATTAATAAGCCCATCCTTATCCAGGCAGGGAGACCTCGCGCGTTTTCTGGGCGTTTTCTAAGAACACGCATTGATTCTGTTCTTCAAATTAGGATCATAAATGCATCACATAAATATGTGATAAAGTTAAAACTATAAGAAATATTACACAAAATTAAACAATACATTTGCGATAATATTTCGTTATGAACTATTTTTCTAAAGCAATTACCAAAGCTAATATTTGTATGCAAATTTGCGAAATATAATCAACTTAGCGTGCTAGACAACCATTTGAGGCCATTTACTCATTACCTCACTAAATGGTGTTTGCACCTTCCTTTTTTGCTGTACCTCCTCCTCCCCTCCGCCCACGGGAAGCACTTAACATCACTTTGACATACCAAGGGCCACATTTGATGACTCTCCCTTCACCTTGACACGAATGTCTGTGCGATTGCCTTGCCTCAATATCCTTTGTATTGAGCTGCCTGCATTTGTAAAATTAAGTTATTTTCGCTTGATGTCGTCATTTGGCGGATATTCTTTTATTTTAGACGGTAAACCAAAGACTTTGGAGCCATGGCTGCACAACCGCAAAAGAACACAATAACCGCCCACAGTTTGTAGGCCAGAAGCAAAAATTTAATAGCCTTTGTGTAATACTAGAAAGTAGAATCCATAAAATTTCGCTTTCAAAACAAAAACCTGTCAAGATTTACGATGCGGCCCAGAGGGGCGCGGAGGGCTGGTCTAACAGGTTGCAGCAGCAGCAGCAGCAGCAGCAGCAGCAGCAGCAGCAGCATCAGCTCACATATAAACAAAAAAGGGGGACGAGCACATATGGGCGCCTCGAACAGATCAAGAACTTCCTCAACACATCGTTGATGTGGATTTGATGTTATTTTTGAACACACACAAAAATTATGAGGCGTCTAAGAAACTACTCCTTCCCCGTATAGCTAGCTCTCTATTTAAAGGGATTTGCCTCTGGGCTGCGAGGTGAGCATAAATTATAAAAATATTTCAATGTGTGTCATTTGCCCAGGCAGGCGGCAGGCAGGCGAGGAATGTTGTACTGCGTGTTCTGCATCATTTTCAACAAATTACCAAAGATTATTAAGTGCCATCTTATTAATGGACCATGCATCGCTTTTCCGCCCGACTTCTTGGATGATTTGATAAAACGACTGTTGATAGGCGGGTGAACAGGCTGAGTAAATTGTATGTGAATTACAGAGTTTAAAATTGAACAAGCATAAAGAAGTGCTTTATTTTTATTTATATATAAATATATACATTGGTAAATATATATAAATGTACTTACCCGAAATTCCGCACACACGATTATTCACACACTGAAAGATAACAGAGGTAAGTTAGATTAAGAGCAGGAGTAAGTGAGAAAAATAAAATGAGAGATAGAGAGAGAGAGAGAGAGAGAGAGAGAGAGAGAGAGAGAGAGAGAGAGAGAGAGAGAGAGAGAGAGAGAGAGAGAGAGAGTAAGAATCCATGCAAAAAAGATTCATGAGAATCGCATAGAAGTTCAATATAGTCAGATTTCAGATGAATAATTTTTATTAAATGCATTTGAAGGGGTTTTTTTTTTGAGATTTTTTTATTGCTTGAGAAAATATGGTATGAAAATTGGACTCATATATTTTTTGCTCGACCGCCAATCCCTGCTTATAAAACTCGTATCTTTATTTGCCTGTTATTGCAATAAAAATGCACTTCAGATATTTATTTAATGATAGTAAAAATTAAAGGGAATTATCTGACAGTTAAAGGGCGCCGTTAGCGTTCATTTGAGGCGAGAGCATTAGCTTTATCTACGTTACGCTACGTAACGTCGCGCGTTGCGTTACGTTGCGCCGCGTCGACTGTTCGCGTGGTACGCTGCGGCGCATCGCTCAGAATGAATTTGCATGGGCAGCGAGACGGACGTTCGCGTCGAAGCTTTCCTCGTTTCTTTAAGTAGTTTTCTTTATGCGAAAAAACGTCGCGACGCGCGCATTTGCGTTACACATTATCTCTGATAGTTGTTGTTGGCGTTTTCGGAAAATGGTTTTCTTAGATTTTCTTAAGTAAAAAAATGCTTTTGTTGTAACTTTAATTTATGAATGGAGGACGCGCTGAGTGAGTCGCCGAATGGCTGGATAATAAATTATGCGCCAAATACCAAAAATATTTGTATTCAAAATGAGAATTCCAAATAATTTATTCGTAACCAAAAAGCTGAAAGATAAAAATGTGTAACAATAATTGATGTGATATGTGGAAATAAAAAATAAAAAAAAAAATAATAATAAATAACTGCAAATGAAGCAAATATTTGAAACAGTGAGGAAATTTGAATTTTGAAACGTAAGAATATTTAAAAAGATATTGAAATACAAACAAAAAACGTGTGGACAAATTAAAAAATAATAATATTAAACAAATATGTATGTGAAATTATGAATAAATATAAACAAAAGAATTGTTATCACAACCTGAGAACACGATAAATAGACACAGATTTTTGTTGTGATAATAATAATAATAATTTCACTGATGTATGATTATATATATTATTTAATTTGAATAGTTTTATGAAATCAATCCATATCTTAGCATTATTTAAGCGTTAAGTAATACTATCCAAGAGATTGTCATCTTCAACAAGTAAATATTTACAAATCAGTCAGCTGTAAAGTGTAAAGAAAATACACAGAAAATCTTATATAGAATGCATTCTTTATACGCATTCAATACTCTATATGCAATATGACCGCATTTCGAATATACTAAAACGACATCTCCCTCCGTCCTCTATGCTGCCCAGCACTTAGCACGACTTACGGATCGTATCAAGTTACGAGAACAAACAACAAAAACTCATACAGTTTCGATACAGAAAAAAACCAATTAATGTGACTAAAATATAGCATAGTAAAAACTGGAATATGCATAATGAGGAATACTGCTGGAAATTCTTTTGAGTGCAGTGCGTGGAGCACAAGTAATTGTAATACGAGTGATCGCTGTAGTTCCTGCCAAAGATCGCATAAAACAAAGGCAAATATTGGGCACATTTTAGTGTCCAATATTTGTACGGAAAATTCCACATTCCTGCGTCTGTTGTTGTTGTTAACGCTCTGCCTCAGCTCGACACTGGCCGCTCCGCAAACCTCCTGCATACTCTGCAATAAGGAAGATCTGAGGGCCAAGGAGCCAACAATAAGCGACAGCTACGAGGAATTCACATTCGATCATCAGGTATCGCGGCAGGATGCTATTCAAGCGCTGCGCAAGTTCAATGAGAGTAAGGCCAAAAACTCTTCTGTCTAATCCTTTCACGATACATCCAATCTGTCAGATCATGACCAGAAAATCTTCTGCCCACCGATCATGAAGTGAGAGTGATCTCTTCCTTGAATCATGTCTGCGATCTGATGTATCGTAAATGGTTTTCCAATAACTTACGCTCTCTTAACTCTCTTTAAGCGAACTCTCTGTTTCCCTTTTGTAGCTCATGGCGGCACACAAAACGCTTGCAACTCGATGAAGTGCACGCAGACGGTGCTTAATTATTGCTTGGGTCCACAGTTCCTAAATGATCATTGCTGGTGCGAGCTGCAGCACAGAGAAGGTGAGTAGACGGCCAGATAATAATGATATTAAGATATTTATGAGCTGCCGGTACATTCACACATGGCGCCTCAACAATAACAAACAAGACTGTACACTCTGCAAATTCTCACATGTAAACAAAAGATCTCAAAATTCTTGAATAACATGGAAAATGAAAACGCTGGCGAGTGCCACTAACCCACTTAAGTAAAGCTTAACTTAAGCTTCATTAGCCTATTACGTTAAAACAACAATTTCATTGGCTAATGAGCGAGAGGCACGCAATGAGCGCAGCTCAAAAATGATGCAAGCTAAGCGAACCACTAAACTAGCCCATAATTGTGGGTGCAGTGGTGCGCTCTCTCTTTCTCGCCCGTCATCTCTCTCTCTCTCTCTCTCTCTCTTCATTAGCACGTGGCCATCGCGGAAGTTGTTAGCCGTTAAAGTTGTGGTCCACATGTCTTAACCGCAGCTACGCTCCATTGCACTGATTTGCATAGGGCTACAGTGGTTACCCGCTATAGTGATAGCAACCATTTGGTATTATTCGATATTTATATATTCAATTTTACACGATTATTTGGGTACATTTTCTAAACGTCTGCGTTTTCTCAAAAGTTATTCCGGAAACTTTGTTCAATGTTTTCGCCTTTGCCACTTTAACGTGGTCTTACTGTAACTAAACTGAAATTCCAAGTGTCCAAGCGTCAGTTGATAATTCTCTTTTTTTTTTAGTTAGTTTTTTATGTTTGTTTTGATGTGCATTGGCGGCTGGTCGGCGTTTTGTGGGTTCGGCACTTCGTTCGTATTTTCTACACTTGAATGGTTTTCTTCAAGGCGTGCACAATTTTCCGTTTCGCATTTTTTCCAAATGCACTCGCATTCAAATTGTTCTGTGTGTTCTAGTAAATACGCTCATTAAATTTAAATTTCTGTAGTCGTTTTCTTTTTTATAGACTCATTCTGAGTTTCTAATTGGGCTCGTTTTTATGGCCTAATGGCTAGGCAGTCCACATACCGAAGGTTAGCATTAGGAAGGTCCTCATAAATATATTAGAAGACTAGCTAGTAGTGCTGGGCTTTTTCCATGGCAAGTTTTGTGCTTCAAACTATGAATATTACTTTTCAAACAGTTCCCGTTCTCTGAAAATGTGTTTGAAGCCGATCCGTTGGTAAACAAAACAAATTTCCACAGCGGCGGGTGGAATTTAAAAAATCGGCAAAAATCTAAAACATCGCACAACAGCTTTTCAAATCACATTTTTCACAGAATATGCTTGGACTCTGCGAAACGTGTGAACACACATCCTAAATGATTTTTCATAAAGATCCCTGGCAATGAATTTGAGCCCGAAACTTCACACCCTCAAAACTGTAACTGCCATTTCCGCCAAGAAGCGATGGATGCTCCGAAAAGTGTGGAATACTCCTCACATGAAATTGAACAAAGATCTTTAAAATGAAGCCAACAACACGCACTTACGATACTTTCTGAAAATTCCGCCCTGGCGTCCACCTCTATCACGTGAGGCTTTCTAGCCCTAACGATGTCGCTGTGCATTGATTACCAATCAGTTAGTCAGTCAATCGATGAGCTCAAGACGTTTTATATATAGAGAGTACAATCTTATAGATATACCTATTAGTCGATTCTTGTCAAGTTAACAAGTTAACAGCAATTGTCGATCTACTGGGTTAATGCTGGGTACAAACCAATAACTTATATAGATTGCCTTAGCCGTATACTCGTTCCACTTTATATGCAGTATTGACTGAACTTTAACCCAAAATCAGATTCCAGTCCATCTTCAATGTCTTCTTATCAGGCATCTCGAAAGTTGTTCTCGCTTATCGAGAAACATAATCTATAAATCGCATTTGGCAACAACAAAATCGGCTGTTTCCAGTCTTCGCACTTAATAAAATGTATTTATTTATGGAACTAAAATATTTTGCCACTGACTTGGCTGTTTTTGTTATTTAATATGCAACGCCCTTAGCCACATCAACATCAACAGCAGCCGAAGCATTCAATTGGGAACGTGTCTAGAATCGTAATGCCAAACACCTGCTCTATAGCAGGCGGGCTCTCTATCAATGAAAACTCTTTCGTTTTATTTTCATCACGCTGTGGGTGGTTTTGGGCTTCTACCGGTGTCTCTCGTAACGACTTTTGACCATGTTTTATCAACCGTTTGTAACGCCAGTTGATTGAATTCGTCACTTTTTTGGCTAGGCCTTTAAGCCTCTATGTGTTGAATGAATCTCTTGGGGATTTTATATTTAATCCCACAAAAATGTTGAAAAAAAATTGTAAACATTATACGTCCTATATAACTACCATTTGGGCTTAGTTGAAAAGTTTCCACGTTATCTATATATAGATTAAATCAAATCGCACTTGGTTACACAAATTTTGCTGCCATCAATCATAATCATCTAATGTGCACCAATAAAATTTCTATATGTGATTTTTTCTAACTTTTTACGATCTGTCGATTTGCATAAATTTGATTTTTGTCATGTCCTCGCATCGTGTCAGCTGTCTCAAAAGATTAATAGCACAATTGCGAACAGCAAATTGTCGATTTGCATTAAAATTTAAAATAATTACATAATTGGATAAATATTTGTGACACGCAGCTGCGAAACAATGAGTTCGACCATTATTCCAATTTGTAAATGGAACTTTATAAAAATCAACACATTTAGTTTTTATAAACAAATGTGTAAACAATTTCCAGTGTTCGACATGGCCCCCAGAAGAACAATATTTAGTCATTCGGTCAGTTTTGTATTGTTTGGCAAATAATTTGTTGATTTTGGCGCTGCGCCTAATAAACATATTCTATTTTATTGGTTTCCGTTTCTACTTAAACCAGAAGCAGCATAAAAATATTGAAAACCAAAACGATTCGAAATAAAATTAAGTGCCCTCTCTCTTTACGTTTTATTACAAATATATATGGAGCACATTGTCAGGGTCCAGGGAAAATGCCTTCTTTGCCGCAGTTTGTACCCAATATTGTTATGACTGACAGCGACAGCTGTTCATATAAAATCAAGTCTATGTCCATATGTCAGTTTCGGAATCCCTAGATTTGGGTAAACTATCACAGCTAGAGCCAACCAAACTTGTTGCCTAATTTTACGAATCAAAAACTGTTGCAATTTTAGTTGTAACCCAGAAATCTTTTACATATTCATAAAAACGCGCAACGTACGGAATTAATAGAAATTTTTGGACTTTACCTTGAATGGTAAAAGTTAAAAACATTAATAACAAAACGTAATACTAGTTGTTGTATGAACAAATTTCCATATATGCGCAAATCTTGACCAGCTTTATATGGAATTAGCACAGCTTGAAAATTGCAGCAGGGATCCCATATGGTTAATTGTTTTCCTAATGAACAGTTTATAGATAGCCATGTGCTTAAATGATTTGCATATACTATTCACACTATTCATACATAATATAAATGCTTTGCTTTTTACTTACAGAGGGCCTACCCTATGTGCCGCATATATGTTATGTGGGAGAAAAGGTCTACAAGCCTTCGGTGGGTTCATGTTTCTTCTTCGAGGAGGTCAAGGAATGCTGCTGTGCAGCCGCTTTGGTCAGCGAGTGTAAGTGCGATTGGAATTTTTTTTGGATGAGTTTAGGCAATATTTGTTATTTAGCCAGCCCCTTGGATATATGATCAAAAAATACTTATATAGGTGCTACACTGTAATCAATGCTAAACACACACACACACACACACACCCATCTTAAGATCAACAAAACGGTGCTAATTTCATAAACAAACCTAAGAAAGCCAGCAGAAATGATCATTTCCAAACGCAACAAAATCAAATCATGATAATTAGATTTAGTTTATAGCGCTAATTGAAATAACTCAGCGTTTTGTGGGCAAGAAAGGCGTCATCATACGAATTGCTTTAAATCATAAAAACATTTGCAGCATTTGGCATCATCAACTATAAATTTAAAGGATAATTAACAGCTATGTATATTGTTTTTTCGCAAAGTTTACTATGAGTTCTCGTGAAAAGAATAAACATCACACTTTGGATAAATAAGGTGCATGCTCATAAATATGAGCAAAGCTGCCAAATAAATAAACTAGCTATTTAGCATTGAAATTCAAAATGCTACACATTTACAGCTAATGATTTATATAAAGGTTTTCTTGTCGTCTGAAAACTTCAGTGGTCGATCAATATTTACATTATTATTTTATTGATACCCAACCAGGTGACTCTACAACGTGATATTATTCTTTGCAGGCTACTAAATTATATCACGAACGGAAGTAGAGCTAAAAAGTCAAAGTGATAATCTAACAAAGCTCTCGATTAAGTTCGTTGTGTTTACAGCACAAACACATTTCTACTTCGAGCCTTCCTTAGATAAGCAATAGTATATTGATATGGACATCCAGCCAATTCCGACATATGTACTTGATGCAATAGTTCGAAATGACTATGCAAAGTATCTTGAGGATAGCTTTAAGCTAAGGAACTAGTTTTCATAGAAGCAGACGGACATCGCTATATCGATTCGGTTGTTGATACTGATTAGGATTACAGGGCTGAAGAAAACTCCTTCTATGCTATACTTTCCTCAACACGGGTATAAAGCTTGGATAGAATTATTGGGATTATCAATTTCTTAATTAACAATAACTTGACTTTTCCAAAAAATAATAATAATAAACATTTCTTTTTTCAATTCCAGGGCGACACATCTCAGGTGCTTCAATTAGCCCACCACAAGCCATGTTAAGCTCAATACTGGCTTTACTGAGTGTACTTCATTGGCGAAGCAGAAGGCGTTGAATTTGCTAAACCTAAGATTTGGGCGGGCCCTGGGAATAGACTAAAATCTAGTGCAACATAGTCATAGTCATGTAGGCATCATGCGATGCAACGAGGCGATTATTTAGCCATTATTAAGTGTACTTAATTCAAAATGTTTTGCACAAATCAAACTTACTTGGTAAGCATTGTATATGAATATATTTAAGCGTTAATAAATATAAATTTGTATGACTAAATATGTGGGTTGGGCATTTAGTTCTCTCCTATGCATAATAATGCACATACTTTGTAGCCACATATTACATTTATTTACGTTTAAATCACTGAAATAACTGTGGCAGGGGATGCTGTGTTGTGTGTATAACAAAATCGTAATCTGATGTGTCGTGCACACAATACAAATAGGAAAAACAACACATAATATGAACAAATTTTAAAAAACAATGCATTCAAGATATGAGTTGCTTGAAATGCCTATGCTTGAATGGCAAATATCATTTCTTAATAACTAGTTGGGGTTGCATACCTAAATCTAAACGGTCCACTAAACCTCGAGTTCAGCAAGTCGGCCTTAAAATTATTTGAAGTCTACCACCTCTCTTGGCTTTATAAGCTGGTGCGGCTGTTAAGCGTACGCTGCAATGCATTCACACAGGACAGCACGTCCTCGTAGTCCTTGGACCACTCACGCAAATTACGTTCCAAAGTCTCCAGTCTTGTTTGACCCAGCCGCATGCCGCCATGTTTGATGGCCGCATAACAGGAGCACGCCAGCAGCTTGAAGCACTGTCTTCGCACCGCATTGTGTGAATTGCTCTCCCAGTTGGGCGTGCTCGCCACACATTGCCATGCCATGCTGACATAGTCCACCAGTGCATCCCAGTGTGTAGAGTCGTGCAGACGCTTCGCCTGCGTTTGCAGTACTCGCTTAAACTCATTGAGATGTATGGCTGCCTTTGAGTAAGCAGCGGCATCTGTTTTCTTGCAAAGTCGCGACGTGGGCAGAGATTTGAAAATCAGCCTTTTGGCATAATGCAGCTCTTGCTCCAGTAAACTACAATGTCAAAGGAAATGTAAAATTTAAATGTTTTTAGCATACACAAGTGAAAATGACTTACGTAATGTCTGGTGTGGGCAGCTGAGCGCGTATTTTCTCCTCGGCGCTTTGTGTATCCGTCGCCGTCTCCTGTTTTATATTGCACATTATCAAGTCAATAAGTTGTTGCTGGGAGAGGCCCTGCAGTAGCGCAGGCAGTGCCACCTCGCTGTTCGTTTGCGCCACGGGACGATCATCCATTTTTAGTTTTTTCACTATCGGCGTACCTGGCCATAGTTGTTGTTTTGTGCCGGTCAATTTGATGGGTGAATACGTTTCCATTGGCATTGGTTCGGGTGGTGTGCTGCCCATGGTCAGTCGTTTGCGTGGTGAGCTGCGCAATATCATGCCGCTTGTTAACTGTAGATTTTTCGTGGGCGTACGTTGAAAGGGACTGCGTACTGCACTGCCGCTGCCGCTGACGCCGCCATTCACTTTGTCCGGTGAGAAAGTCGTTGTGAAACGACGACGTCCACGTTGCCGTATAATAAGCTCGTCTGGTGAGGGCAGTGGCGAGAAGCTAAAATCCTGTGCCTGCGCCACATTCAAATCATTGTCCACACGCAATCCCAGGCCCCCGCCACCACCGCCACCATTAGGCGTGTTAGCTGTGGCTGCCGGTGTGGGTTCATCGGGAGTGCGGCGGTTGGCATTTGTTGGTGTATTCGCAACACGGAGCGCTTCCAGACGATCGGGAATTTCAGCTAGCGCCATGCGCGTCTGTAGTGTCGGCGTCGTTGTCGTCATTTTTGTAGCCTTAGTAGCTGCAGCTGCAAAATTCAACAGGGAAAATTAGCTCTCATCGCCCTGATACTGATGTTTTCCGATGGCGTGTAAGGGACACTTCCAGTCTTTTTATTAGCTTGGTCTTGAATCAGCCATTTACCTTGCTTGTTGCTAGACTATTTTTATTTTGTTTAGTTTTGTTTGCCAAAATTGCGCCAATTCATATGGCAAGCTCGGGCAGGGCTACCAAATACTGTAGAGTTGTCGCTGCTCGCTAAAAAATTGATCTGGTAACCTTACCCATAGGTATGCAGCTAGCCATCTGGCATCATCGTTCTTTTCTTTCGCTCCTTGCATTACCAACGCCGGCGTGTCGAGCTGCTATTAATTTGTTTAACATTTAATTTAATTTAATTCATTTATAAAATAATCATAAATCAGGTCAATGATGAAGCGCACTGCTTTTAAATGGCTGCATAATAATCACGTCAACATAATTGACTTTGGCGATTGACCAGCGGCTACCACTTCAACCACGTGGTTTCTTAGCACTTGTTGAAACTTATCAATGCTTGAATTAAAATGAGCAAAGTTAAAATAGGTAAGTTTTTAAAATTTGCAGCTCCCGCTTATTAACAACTCGAATGATGATAGCTTCATAACCCAAACCAGAAAAATTATGTTGAAATCGATTTAACATGCATCACCATCTGACAACGAGTAGTTTAATAAATTGATCCTTATCATCCATTGTCCTGTAAATGTATTAATATATTCATTTTATTTTAGTTGAAGTCCTTTGGAGAAGTAAATTTGGAGCTTACACATAACCAACATATGCTCGAGGTAAGTCTTTCAAGACATTATTTTTTAGCAAATTTCGTTTCTCCTGATGATAACTTCATATAAAAATCAGAGAAATTATGTTGAAATCTATTTAACATGCATCACCATCTGATCCTTACACATAAATCTCTTACTCATTGATTTGAAAACATGTAGATAATTTGTTATCATTTTCTTTTAGACTTTGTGCGCATTAAACTGGCGGAATGGAAATTGGGAAAAAGCCCTTGTCCACGCTAAAAAGTAAGTCTTATTTTTATTACCTTCCCAAAACTAAAAATTTTTTACTGATGACAACTTCATACTCAACTCAGATCAATTATGTTGAAATCTGTTTAACATGCATCACCATCTGATTTTGACAAACATTATTTTTACCTAATTTGATTATCCATGAAACTAATTTTTCGAAATTTACTCTGTTTTCTAGGCACAATGCACATTGACCAAGCGGTCAGGCATGAATTTAATATATTAATTTTATTATACGAAATAGTTTAATATTCATATCAATAATGTGTAAAAATAAACTTATAAACAACTTATATAACACTGCCAACAACTTTGCCTATCCATCAACGACTCCATAGCAGCAACAACAGCGTTAAGATTATGTCCCTGTTGCTCGGCTGAATCCAACTGATGCTGCCACTGAATTCTGGCATCACGCTGCCATAAACCACCTCCTGGTTGGCAGCTGGACGCACCGCTGGGCCGTGCTCAGTGAAATCTCGTTTCTTTTTGAAGCTTTCATAGTACCAGTCCATGCCATCTTTTCGCTCCGCTCGCTCCACGGCCAGTTGCTCCTCGGGCTGAGTGTCGGTGCGCTTCTGTGCCTTCCTGGCAATTAGCTGCTGCTCGCTGGCAAAGCTTTCATTGTCCGCACTAGGCGTGGTGCGTTGATACTCCTCGGCAGTGGGTTGTGCCAACTGCTGCTGCTGCTGATTGTGCGATGTAAACACCTTGGTGATAGTTGAACGGCCACCGGGCGTGCGCACAGGTGCCGCTGCTGCTCCTCGTGATGGCGCCGCGGTCACTTGACCGCTGCTGGGCGTGGCTTTATAATCAATGAACGGTTCTGTTGTTGTGGTAGTTACCCAAGAATGACTTTTAATTTGTGCCACATGCTCTTCAGGTGGCGGTATTAACAATATGGTCTCCGCTGTTGTTGTTTGAAACAGTTCCGGTGGACGCAGAAGCGTTACTGATTGCGCCTCCAGATCCTCTTCATCGTATTGGGAATCCTCCGCCTCTTGCTCGCTGGATGCACTGCTTAATGCCGCCTCCGTTGTGGTTGTTGTTGTGGAACTACTTGTTATTGCTGCAGTTGCTCTTGTGGTGCTGCGTGCTGTTGTCATTGGTCTGGTGCTTTTCACAATTGGCATCTGTGTGGTCACATCGGGCGTTATTTCGGTGACTTCATAGGTGGCCGTCTCGACACTCTCTGCGCTGTTGGTCGGCTTGGGACGCGCCTGTATCTGTTCCTGACGCACTGCAATAGGCACGAAGTGACGCTCCATGTGCGGCTTGCTGGTGACATTCACCGGCTCCACCAGCCCGCGACGCTGTTGTGGATCGTGCACAGGCATAAAGCCGCCCACATGCGCGGGCACAATGGGTCGAAAGCCGCCGCGTTCAATGCTCGACGGCTCACGGAATGTGGTGCGAAAGACCCCAACAGTTGTGGCCGCGCCACTCTCATTGCTCAACGCCTCCTCCGCCGAGTTGGTGGTCACTTCAGTGTCGCCATAGCGATTTCGTGCTCTGGGAACGGTCTGCTCCTGCTGCTGCTGTTGCTGCTGCTGCTCCCGTAAGTACTTCTCGAACTCGGCGCTGTTCGGCTGATACATGCGCGTCTTTCCCCGCCCAGTGGGCAAATCGATGTGTGCCATCCGGTGTGTGGCTGGCATCGGATCTTCCTGATCTGTGCGCTGCTTGCGTCCGCGCTCGCCAAAGCCGAAAAAGCGACCCAGACTCAAGCTGGGTATGGGATACCCAAAGAAGGTGAATGGTGAGCCAGCTCCCGCGACTGGCTGTGGACGTCTATTAAAGTACTTGGTGTGCAGCAATGTATTATTCAGGTCGATGTTGGCACTGGGCCCTGCCGTCGGCTTGGGACGCTGCGAGCTGCTGCCCACCGCATTGGTGGCATCCGGCACATCCGTGGAGTCCACATACTGCTCGTAAAAGTATTCGCTGTCGCCCACCATCGGCCGTTCGCCATTCGCCTCACACTCATCGCTGAAATCATCGGGCAGATCGCGCTGGAAGACATCGCCGTGCTCGTTCAGCAGCGGCAGCTGATTGCCATCGGTGCGTTCGTTATTATCGCCCCCATTGAAGAGCTCCAGGCCGACACAAAGGCTGCGCTCCATCCGGGCAGCTCGCAAGAGGCGACCATCCTTGCACTTCGGTCCGGGGTAGGGAAAATTGGTCTCCTGCAGCCAGACGGAGAGCCACTGCATCTCACAATTGCAATCAATGGGATTACCTAAGCGGAAGGTGCAAAAAGATAAGTTAATATAAGACGTTGATCCTCGAAAATCAATCAATTGGATTTGGCATCAGATTCTCAACGTGTGATCCGATTGCGTTGATAAGGAAGGTCGTAAAGCTATCCCCTTATCCCCTTAAGCGCTACTCAAGGACTTTTAGATAAGTCTTGATAGTATTCCAAATAATATTTGTCAAACAGTTTTGTCTTATAAGCTAGATTCAACCCAGATCTTTCAGTTCGGTTAGTTATCAAATGGAACAAAAATGCGATATGATCTAATACCTGGTGGGCATACGCTTACCATCCACGTCCAGTATGGCAATGTTGCCCCTCAAGTTCCGAAAGGTGCGCTCCTTGATGGTTCTCAGTTGATTATTGCGCATAGATAATACGCGCAGTCTGGGCATAGTCTCAAATGGTGAACCCTGGCAGAAGGATGGAGGGATAGATAAATCGGTTTATTTCGTGGGCTTGGACCTACCTGAATTCTACATATTTGATTGTTATCCATCTTGAGCTCGACCAGCCAGTTGAGCGCCTTGAGTGGCATGGTGGATACCAGTTTCACGGCGTTGGTGGACAGATCCAATACCTCCAGGTTACGCATGCTGCGCAGTCCAATGTTCTCCATGTTGCGGAAGTGATTGTTGGACAAGTTCAGGAAGACCAATGAATTAGCATGATGGAAGCTCTCGGGCGAGATGAAGCGCAGTTTGTTGTACTGAAAATGCGAGGCCAGCAATGAGGGTAGCTCCTCGAAAACGTGATCCTTGAGCTCCACCAGCTTATTATCGGCCAGCACGAATTCCTGCAGCTCTGGCAAACCCTTGAGTGCGCCCGGCTGCACGCTGCCGATCTCATTGCTGCTCAGATCCAGATACTGCAACTTGGGTAAGTTTCTAAAGGTGCCCTGCTGCAGCTCCACAATGAGATTGTTGGACAAACGAATCTCTACCACATTGCGCCAGGCATTGATCACATCGGAGTGCACGCGGGAGATCTGATTGTAGCTGAGATCAACATCCCGCAGACTGTGCAGATTGCCCAGACCCACCGAAATGTCCAGCAGCGCATTGCCGGAGAGATCCAAGTACTCCAGCGAGCGTTGATTGTCAAAGGCGGTGGGTGAAATGCTGCGTATGAGATTGCGGGACAGATCCAGTTGCTCCAGCCGGCTGTTATTGGAAAAGAAGTTGTCCGTTATGGACTCCAGTTTGTTCGACTGTAGATTGAGATTGCGTAGCTCCGCCAGCGGCAGTAAGGCGCGCTCGTCCGCCTGGCCCAGCTGATTGTCCTGCAAATGCAGCAGCTCCAGCCGCTGTATGCCTATGAATGAGGTGTCCTCCAGCAGACGGAGCTGGTTCTGTGCCAGACTCAACACGCGCAGCTGGGGCGCCGCCTGAAAACCATGACGCGCCAACTGCTCTATATGATTCTGGCTGAGATCCAGCATGCGCAGATTGGGCAACTGCAGGGACTTGCTGCCCGCAGCGGGCAGAGCGGTAATCCGATTGCCACGCAGCGAGATGCGCTCCACAATTTGCGGCAGGCCCGGAATGATGGCAGACAATTGATTAAAACTAGCATCCACCTCAAATAGACGTTCCAAGTGCATAAATGTACCCGGATGTATGTGGCTCAGCTCGTTGGAGGAGATGTTTAGTGTCTCCAAGAGGCTATTGTGTCGAAAGGTGTTGGCAGCCAGATCGGTTAGGCCATTCTCGCTGAGATCCAGACGCCGCAGTGAAGGCAAACCCGCCAGCAGCTGTGAGTCCACGCGCATAAACTGATTCTGGGCAAGATCCAAGCCCTTCAGCCCAGGCAGATTCCAAAAGGGCAAAGGCAACTCCGAGCTGAGGCTGTTGTTGCGCATGCGCAGCTCCCGAAGCGCTGGCATGGCCATCAGGGCATCGCGTTCGATCAGGCGCAGCTGATTGTTGTTCAGATGAAGTTGCTCCAGTGTGCCGTGGCCCCGCAAGGCGCCATACGGCAGCTCACTCAACAGATTGCCGCTCATATCAAGGAAACGCAGCGTGGGCAAGGCATCCAACAGAGCCCGTAGCGCCTCTACATGAGCGATCTCATTGTTGTATATGTGCACGGCCTCCACGCCGCTGCCGGAGGCCTGTAGCAGGGATTCCGGATGTATGCGACGTATGAGATTGTTGTGCAGATGGATGGTCTTCAGTTGAGGTGTGCGCAAAAAGGCGCCGTACTGCAGCTCCGTGATGCGATTGTCATTGAGATGTAGCTCCGATAGATTCGGCAAGTCCACAAAGGAGCCGTCCTCAATGACATTGATGATGTTATGATCGAGCCGCAGTTTCTTCAGATGCTCCAAGTCCTTGACAATGCGTCCAATCATGCCCACATCGCTGATCTGATTATGGGACAGCTTAAGGCTAACCAAATTGGGCAGCCGGGCCAGGGCCCGCAAATGTATCCAGTTGAGCCCATTCCGACTCAGATCCAGACTCTTCAGCGAGATCAAGCCGTCGAATAGACCCGCCTCCAGGCGTGTCAGACCCGTGCCGCCCGTGATGTGTATGTGCTGCAATTTGGGCAGATGCCGGAAGCTAAGCGGCTGCAGCTCCGTCAGGGAAGCACTCTGCACACTCAAATAGGTCAGGCTGAGCAGGCCTGAGAAGTCGGGCAGATGCTTCAGCTCATCGCTCTGTATGGTTATGGCCAGCATATTGATCATGCCATTCAAGCTCTCCGTGGGTATGCTGCGCAGCTGTGGCTCCACTATGAATATCTCCACCAGGCTGTTCTCCAGCTCATTCAGCCAGCCATTCGAGACACGCTCGATGCTATTGTAGCGCAGCATCAGCCGCACAATCTGCAGATTGCCAAAGAAGCGACCCGGTAGCGCCGGCAGCTGATTGTTCTCCAGCACCAGCTCATCAATTTGCGTCTTTATGTTGCGCTCCACGGCCTTCAGGCCATCCATAATCTGTGGCAAATTGCTATGCGAGCACCTGCACAAAGAAGTGCTTAGCTCTGGCTGTTAACCATGCCCTGTC